CCTGGTGCCGACTGTCCCTTCACTTTAACAAAGCACAGGATTCTCAGCCCACTTTCTGTTTCATGTGCCTCCCAGCTACGAGGACATAATGAGGAAACGCACTCCTTCTGCTTAAGTTAGGAATACTACTTGTATGCAGGCACGCTTGGAGGGGTTCTTAAGTAACCCAAATCACTCTGTAGGAAAGAGTCAGAACAGTGATGATTTCTCTGATGACAGTTTATGGAACTTACTGGCTTCCTCTGGTGCATTTCGAATTTACAGTGTAATTGGTCATGCATTTTGTGCCATTTGGCTGAAATGTCACAATCTCAGATGCCGAAGAAGTGAACAGGTCCAGTGTGCTACGACCCAGCCAAAACCTCAGAGTCATTCTAGATTCCTTTATCCTGTACGTCACATACATCAGCGAATCCTGTTGTTCAGTCTCCAAAACACTTCTCCATGCTTCTCACCTCTCTGCACCTTCACCCGGTACCCGCTCTGTAAAAGCCCCCATCATCTCTCATCTGGACCATGGCAGTCATCTCCAAAGTGATCTCTCTGCTTCCATTTTTGCTTTCCTACAATCCGTTTCCCTTATGGTAGCAAGGGTACTCTTTTAAAAAAACCTATTAGATCACAAAGCTCCCTTTATTGAAACCTTCTTCTAGCTCCTGTAATAGTTGGACCCGAAATGAAGCTCTCTACACAAGTATTCAGGACCTTATGAGATCTGGCCTTTGCCTACCTTTCTGATCTTATATCTCTCTTCCTCTCCCTCCCCATATTCTAGCTGTTTTTTTGAAAACTTCAGGTTCTCTTTCATCTTAGAGCCTTTGCACTAGGTATGCCTTGTGCCCGGAATGTTCTTCCCCTAGCCAAGATCTTCACAGGGTGCTGTATTGTTTATTCATGTTTAAGCTTAAATGTCAACTCCTCAGAGAATCTTTCTTGACTATCAAAACTAAAGTAGTATAGTCCTTCCTGTTGTATCTTCAAAATAGCACTAACTACTCTCATATATTTTTTCTTGTTTGTTCATTGCCTGTCTCCTTTATTAGAATGTAAGCTTTATTGTAGTATGGACTTTGTCTATTGTGCTCAGATCCCCACTGCCTGGAATAGTGTTTTGCGAATAGTAGGTGCCCAATAAATGGTTATCTAGTGAATGAATGAGCAAAGCCTGGTGAAGAGATTCTCTTAAATGATATAGGAACAGGATGCTTTAGGTGTGGCCCTATCAGGAGTGAGAGGTCAAGGCTGAATGACTTTTTTGCAGGTTTATTCTTGATCCATATTCTGAGCTTCTAAGCTCTTGGATATTTTCTGAGGCCTTATGTCTGTTGTGCTGTTAAATGCGCTTAAACAATGACAACCTTTTATCTTGGGGAGGTAAGAGACTGACCTCATTCTCAGCTGATCTGATCAACTGGAAAACAAAATGTGTCGTTAATTTTAGGATCCATTTTATGTGACATTTTTGTCTTCCTAAAGGTTAGGGGCCAATAGGAGAATTGGAGAAAGCTTGCTAACCAATGTATCTTTATTCACATTTAGAAATTAGTTGGCACTGGGGACAGTCCATGGGCTCACCCCGATTTGAGGTCTAGGTCTTATTTTTCCAGGAAGGGCTTGTGTCTGTGCTGTGTCCTCAGTGTCTAAAATATCTTATTCATGCATAAAAAAAGGGCAGGCATGATTAAGAGAGGATGAATCCCTGAACCTCACAGACAGGAGAAAAATGTAGAGTCGTGATACTTAAAACATTTCTCAGCCTTAGTTGTCAGTGCTGGTACCCACTTCAGCACATTTCTGAAATGAACTCTGCTAAGGCTAGGTCAGCGACACCATAAAAAATTTTTTTGCAATTAAAAAGGCTTAAAGGGATCACTGGCAAGATGGCCTTTTTTTTTTTTTTTTTTTTTAAACCAAGTCACTTAAAGAAGTAAACTCAATAGAAGTATTTCCTTACATCAGTTTTACCCATCAGTCAAAGTGAAGGGACCCAGGCTGAGAAGAGCCACCATCTGAGAAACTCTAAAGGGCAGTGTTTAGAGCTCAGCCTTTGCTTGCGAAGCCATTTGTAACCTTATGAAGGCATCTGTCATGTGACTTCAATGGTCTTTAAAGTTTGATAATCTACAGAAAAAGATAATAGGATTAGGAAATAAGATATAGATAAAACGGCTCATTGGGAAAGTCCTACCTTTTATGAATAGCTATAGGCTTTACTATTTTAATTTACCAGATGGATGGTAGTGCTTTAAAATATTATAATAAAGAAAAACAATGGCACCCACCAAATCACATAATATTCAATGTACATTTTACTGCATTTAACCCTTCTGGGCCTCAGGAATCAGATTTACTGGCTGTTTAATAAATTAGCTGAAATATGCAAAATCAGAGGCAAGAAAATGAAGGAAGGAGTAAGATTCCTAGTGTCTGGGGTGCGTTTAGTGTTCTAAGGGGAAGCGGCTGTCTTCGTGCATCATCCTGCAATGGTCAGTGACTGCAGGCGTTGACTTTAGCCTTTCTCTTGAATGGAAAGTGACTGGAATCCATGAGAGATGATCTCAGGTGAGGAGTTTTAAATCAAGACCTTGCTTGGTTCTTTTAGATTGTTGTTTGGAAGTACCAGGATTCCATACCGCTCCCCACCCAGAGTAAAAATGACCACACAGCTCTGTGAGGGGACAGAACTAAAGGTTTAGAGAGTATCAGAGCTGGAAGATCTTAGCATCTAACCTGAACTCCTTTCTTTTGCCGACAACAAAACGGAGATCTGAAGGGATTAAATGACTTGCCAAGGGCCACACAGATGATAAATGACAAAGTGAGGGCTAGAACGTGGGTGTGTTGATTTATAGTCTTTCTGGACAGATGCAAAAATTAGAAAAAAATTATAATTCCTCATGCTTATTATATTATTTCTTAAATGCTGTCTTTCTGCAACAAGGTGGCATATGTAATGAAAGAATTATGGAGTCTGAGTTTGAACACAGGATCTTCCGCTCTCAGCTGTCTGATCTTGGGCAAATCATTTACCAATCTAGGACCCTGTTCTCTGATCTTTGGGAAGTAAAAGTGAAGGCAATGATGAGCTTTAGAGACAATATATGCAAAGGCTAGTGTATAGTAAGCGCTTGGTAAATGGTAGCTATTATTATTGTTATATTAGAGGAAATACTGTTTACTGGCATTTATATGTTAACAGGCTTTAAATCTTGCCTTTATCACTTCCTAATTAGTTCTGAGATCTCATTAGTTCTATAAGCCTTGGGTCCTTCACTTTTAAAATGGGGAAAACCCATTTTAAAGTGGGGAAGTACCTACTTCATAGAGCAGTTGTGGAGATTTGATGATGTAGTCCATGCATTGTGTGTAGCAGTACATTGCACACTGAAAAGTTTGATAACATTGGCCATTTTATAATTATTTAAAATTTTGCATGGAGGATATAGGGCAGGATTTGGTAGACTTTTGCCATCAAGGGTCAAATAGTTACTATCTTAGGCTTTGCAGTCTGTAAGGTCTCTGTTACAACCACTCAACTCCACCATTGTAGTGTGAAAACAGCCATAGACAATATGTAAAAGAATGAATGTGGGTGTCTTCCAATAAAATTTTATGTAAAAAATAGGCAATGGGCCAGACTTGGCCTGTGTCCATAGTTTGCCAACCCCTGATATAGAACAAGAACTCTTGCTCTATGGCTTCTGGAAGAAGGCATCCTGTTGATATAAATAAAGAGGGTAGGTGCCTTCTTCTTTTATGGAAAGTAGAACTAAAGTTACAATTGGGCACATTTTCTATCATCAGATCTTGTTCATGGTAGAATTTACTTATAATAGGCTATGAGAATCTCTGTTTGCCTGCTGACCCCACCTTGCATTCTCCCACAAGGCATGGCCAGTCAGATTCATAAAGAGGCCAAGAACCTAAGAATCCCCTCAGTCAAATTCACAATACACCTAGTTTCTAGGAATATTACTTAAAAATACTACATAGTTCTAATATTAATATAATTTGCATAGCTCCTTTTATTACAAATGTTAGGGGTTTCAGTTTTCTTTACCCTGGTTGTGAAAAATATGCCTTTACTTTGATTCATAAGACCCTTCATAAGGTCTTCAGAGAGAAGGTATTTTTGGCCTTTGATGCTGATAGGTGATCTTCTTCCTGTTCTTCATGAATGAAATAAGTGGAGGGTTGGGTCGTCCACTTCCAAAAATGATTCAAGGTGGCACTTTGTTCCAAAGTGGAGGTGTAATCATATTAATCTGGTACCAGGCAGAGTACATCTTGCAGGCAGAGAAAATAGAAATTTAATCTTGGCTATCCTCATATACAGCATCTAGACTGTTTATTTCCTATTCACTGATCGAGGTCTTGGAGCTGTAGAAAAGAAGCATCTTAGGTGGCCTCAGAAATGAGAGAGTGAACTCTGATAAACACTCAGTTGCTTTGTGCTAAGGATGGTGATTGCCAACAGTAGTAGTTTAGATGGTAGCAAACTAATTATGAGGAAGAGGCTGTAAGACTTTATTGACAGCAATGATATAGGGTTAAGTGTTTCCCACAGAGCACATGAACTTGGAAAGCTATTTATGGGAAAAAGGAATCAGGTCCTTGTGGGCTCACAGTGAAATCTTGTGACCAATTTTCTCTAGTTAGTGAGCAGAGGCAGTTAAAAAGCACCACGACGTTTAGCAGAATAGGGAAATTGTCTCTTGTATTTCTGGCAGTAAATCATTTATTATTACAGACGCTTTGTAGACAGATACTGATAATTAACTTTCCCAGAGTCCTCCTTACCATAGACCTTTGATCCTCTGAAGAGGTATCAAATTTGTCATCTTTGGTCAGAGTTCTGGAGAGTTAATAAGGTATTGCCTTGCCAGTTGGCAATGAAGGGAATTTGTTATATTGTTTTAATTATGTAAACAGTGTTTCTATAGGTGTAAAAATATATTTACAGTATTTTCTTGAACATGATTTTATTTTTTTCTATCTAGATAATAGAGTTGATATTCCTTCAAAATGGACTTTCTTTCATGTGCTACGTTTTGATTTCTGAGGTAACATTGAATTATTTATTAAATTAATTTTGTGTTAATAGATGATGAATTAATGTACAAGCTTCTGAAAGGTATTTATTTTTGAATAGAAGATTCTGTGAGACATAGTGCTTTAACCCAAAGGGATGTATCTCTCAGATGTCTCACGAGAGGACGGGTGATGAGGTCCCTGAGATTTGGCTGTTGAAGGAGGGATTCGAATCAAGCAGTATTTGGAGGCAGTACCAGGGCGAGCATGAGGGGAAATGATGCTCCCAGCAGTCCGGCTAGTCTCACAGCTCCTGGGAGAGTGGGGGTGCTGGAATCCACATCTCCTGTTAGCCAGCCCAGCGAGGATTGCCCACAAAGAGGAACGTAAACACATTTGATGACAGGGGAAAGGACCGCTGGAGAATGAGGACCAGGGTGAGAATGCAGCAGTTGGTTTTTGGGAAAAAGAGATCTCTCTTCTTTTAAGTCCGTGAGGGCAGATCAAAAGGTACATAAAGAGACAAGGATGCTCTTAGCTGAAGAGAGGAACAATTCTGGGTTTTCCTACTCCTCTAGAGAGCCCATGTTGATAATAAATGAAATCTCTCTTCCCCCACCCCACCACACACGCTTGATAACACATAATAGTGCGAGAGTGAACAATGGGTAGAAATCTAATAATTCTTACTTGGGCAGATTTTCCCTCCCTTCTTTTTTTTTGGCAGTCTATGTCATCATATGCAACTCACTGCAGCCTCCAACTCCTGGGCTTAAGTGATCCTCCTGCCTCAGCTTCCCAAGTAGCTGGGACTACAGGTGCACGTCTCCACCTGTAGATAATGTTTCTATTTTTAAGTAGAGACAGAGTCTTGCTCTTGCTCAGGCTGGTCTCAAATTCCTGAGCTCAAGCAATCCTCCTGCCTCAGCCTCCCAGAGTGTCTTTCCTTCTTAAGGAGTTAATTTTAAAGTAATTTCTATGACTGGCTATTGTGAATTTAGTTAAGGAGCAAAGATTGTTCACATTTTTATGTGTAAGCCTTTTTCAAGTTCAAGAGTTGTTAGGACTATTTTGATGTAATTCTTTGCCTACACAGTAGGCATAATCTCTACCATAGATTATGGTAGAGACAGCTGTATTTCACAGAGCCCTGAGATCTCTGTCCTCCTGTTCTCTTTTGTCCCGTCCCCTCATCCATTTTCCTTCCTTCCTTCCCCAAACTGATTTCTAAATATTGAGTATATCCCAAGACTAGGATCTATAAAATAAAATTAAAAATTTTACCAGAACTAACTCCTAACAATTATAAGGTATCTCTTAAAGTAGGATGATACCAAGGATAAAAAAATCTACCAACTCTATTCCAGTAATGTTTGGGGCTCAGTGGACAGCTTGCACATTCTGTAAATTTTCTTTCAATGTTATTTTGGTTTAGCCTGCTAAGGAAATGCTAGGGGAGAAATAATGGGTGCTTTACAACCACCATAAGAAAAGAGCCGGGATCCTTTCATTTCATGTTTATGTGATGACAAGCCTGCATTCCTGCTCCATCTGCTTCCTCCCATCTGCAGTTTCAGGACAGGGAGCGAAGAGCTAAAATGATAGTCTTCTTGGATTTGTAGTCACAGGCTAAACCATAGATCCCAGAAATGAATCAGAAGGCTCGTGTTTATCCAAAGTGCAAACCTCCCGAGAGCTCACATTAGCAGAGTGTATTTCTAACAGTGCTGGCCAGTGATGAACAACTTTCATAATTGTCACCCACAGCTTGGCGTAATCCTGAGGCACTCTCTGGATTATCAAGAGAGATTTCTTTTCTGTTCAGTTTTAGTATTCCATTGATTTCATTTGATTTTGTGATTTGCTGAACATGGAGAGAGCCTTACCCTGACTATTCGATTAGCAGGGGCACTGCATTTGTAGCCTTCTATAAACGGGGGTGTACCAGACAAAGGGAAAGAAAATTTTTCCATATCCTTTTTTTCTCCCTTCAGATACAACGAAACCGAAGAGATAGAAAGTCCCTTCTTTAAAGCTTGTTGTTGTGCAAGGAGAAAGGAATTGCCTTGCCTACCTTGCCTAACCACCTGAGTTCCATCACAAAAGGAAATAACACCCACTAAAGGGTTAATTTCTAAAACCTGACTGCTCCTTGTGAAGCTGACAGAGAGGAAGGCCGCTTCCCTGGTCTAATTACCCACTGAAAGCCCGGGTGGGAGTTGAGTCTCGGCAGGAGACTCTAGCCCTACCTGCCTGAATAGTTAGGCTGCAACGTGCCTGTGCCTCGTTTTTAATCCTGTACACAGCCCTTTCTTCTGTTCGTTGTTATTTTCCTTCCTCACCTCTGGACACTTCGGCACATTCACTTGAAACATCGTCACAGGAGAACTCGGCTTTGACAGAAACCTCTCTGAAATGTTTTTTTTTTTTTTTCCCCCCTGTTCTGGCTTGCACTTGAATAATTCTCCATCAACAGCACGTCTGATTGAGTTGGCATCACAAACCCTTTTGTATGCTATTTTTTTCCTTCAAGAAATATTAAAGTCTGAATAAAATTGGAATAGCTGCCTGGTAATGATCTCATTATATATAAATACAGAAGTGCTCACAGGGGAGATAATGACTCCAAGACTCAGGTATGCAGTGAATACCTATTATCTTCCAAGGAGTCGGCCCACACTCAACACCCCTCCACGGCTCCCCTGAAAACAGCCCTTGCTGTTTAAGGTTCAAGTTGCAGAAAAACGAATGGCTGATTGAAGCTGGGAATAGCAGGGTTTTTTTCCCCTCCCCCTTCATGACATATGTTAGGAGATGAAAGGAACCTGGGCTGTGTGTTTACTCTTCATTTGGGAGTTTCACATGTTCTGATTGATCGGAAAGACAAAAAGGCAGAAGGAGAGACATTTGGTGCTGGCTGAAGACCATATCCATTCTCAATGTGAAGTTTCCTCGTTTGGTGAGGATAATTGTGCTGAGGCAGTTCTGGGGATAGACGCTACTAAAAGATTTTTAAAAATAACAGGCCCACCACCCAGTTTGAGTTCTTATGCAGCAAAAGAACAAACACAGATGGCAGCAGTAGGGATGGGGGGCCGGGGTGGGAAAGGCCCTCCTAACGTGGGAGTTTACTAGTTATTAGCCCCAGTGATCTTTTCTGGCAGCCAAGGTGTAAGCAGATGAATTTAGCACTTCACAGAGTACCACATAGAGGGTTTGATTCCTGATATGGGCTAAGGGACCCTGGAAATATTTTTACTCCTTGTGATTAGCATCGAAAAAGAGAATTGGGTGGAGAAGAGGGTAGATTGCTTTAAATGTCCCTGTTGGGTTCTAAAGGGCGTTTGTCTAAAGGGGAATTGCTATCTGCCACCTTAGACCAGAGAGAGGTGGAGTGGAGGATGAGTACTTGGCTGTTTCTATTTGCATCTATAGGCTTATTATTCCCTTCTGATTTCCATATTAGAGACTCTCAAAATATAAAATAACATTATAAGCATAATTCTCTGGCAAAGGGAAGGGCTGGATGGCACACATATTTTGCCCATAGCTAAAAGTTTCATGCAATAAACGTGGTATGCTGTTGAGCAATGACAATACATTCCTGTTAACTGAGAGAGAGTTATACTCATAAAACCTAAAGGAGGGTTAGTCAGAATAGACAAGGGCTGACATGACCTCTGGTATCAGGTGAGACCATATCCGTTGTGGGGATAATCAGGGAATCAGAACAAATGTCATTGGCCACAATCAAATTCATGCTGTACACATGCTGCTCAACACACACTGTGTTTCCTTCCTTTATTAAGCATTGGCATTTGTAACGCCTTAGCCCCAGGGAAAGAATCTTCTCTCTCTCCTTCCAGTGCCACAGGGACCATTGGGATCTGGGAGAATGTTTCCCTCACTGGTGCTCCTCCTTGGGCGATGACAATTAAACATGGATTCTATTGTTTTCAGAAACTGAGTGTTGGAACCCACCTTCTCGTATTTTCCCCCATTGCTTATGGAGGTATCTAAGGGAGATTCCCGGTGCAGCAATTCCATGTCCCCCCACTGCCCGGTGTATCGGGATGGATGCCTCCATCTTCATGCTAGTCATAGCAATACTCTATTACTCTTGGAGGTCTAATGTGTTCCAGGCTGTGTGCTCCATGCCTCACACACTACCTCATCTGACCCTCACAATGCTGTGAGGTGGCTGCTTCCATGCCATCTCAGAGAGTGACTTGATGTCCAGTGGCGAATCACTGGTTTGTGGCTACAAATATCTGGAAGGCTATGGAGGCGGGAGAGAGGACATGGCTTGCATAGAAGTCTCTGAATGAATGAGTCCATTGTTTCCTTAATACCTTTGCATTTATTTAACTAATTTTAATGGCAACTTCAGTATTCAGCCTCTGCTGTGTGGAATACCACATAAATATGAGGCACAATCCCTGCCTACAACGCTCCTATAATCTGGTAAGTAGATAGGAGTAGAACAAGAAAATACCACTCTGTGGAACAAAGGTGAGATTGACTTCTCATCTGCTATTAGCTAGGCTTTCTGGGTCTAAGCTGCTTTTTTTTTAAAAAAAGAAACTAGGTGATTGGACTAGATCAGAGGTTAGTAAGGTTTTTCTGTAAAGGGCCAGAGAGTAACTATTTTAGGCTTTGCAGGCCATATGGTCTCTGTCACAACTGCTTAACTCTGCTATTGTAGCATGAATGCAGACAAATACTATGTAACAAATGGGCATGACTGTGTTCAAATAAAACTTGGTTTACCAAAATAGTTGTAGATAAAAATCAGGTGGGCTGCATTTAGCCCAGGATGACCCTTGGATCTGATGGTACCTATAGGACTTTCTGGCTAGAAAATGCTATAGTTTCTCCACAGTCCACAGGACATTTCTTTGGCTTTTCTGTTCTTGAGAAGGAGTATATAAAAAATGTCAATGGAAGTGGTCCTGGAGAGGCACCAGGAGGGATTCCCAGCAATGTTCTGATTGAAATCGCAATGGGAGAAAGCCATTAAAAAAGGTGGGGGGAAGGTCCCATTAATCAGAGCTGGGCACTGCTGTTTTAGTTGGAGGTCTGGCTATTAGCTCAGCAGGAAGACAAGGAAGACAAGATGGGGCAGGCTGGAAACATGGATTTCCCAGAGGCAGAATGCTGAAAATTCTTTTCAGAACAAAGTTTTTATGTAATTTCTTATGTAAGTCTTAGAATCCAAGGCATTGTCGTTGGTGCAATTTCGCTTATATTAGTAAACGCAATCTAACATCCTCATCATAATCTAACACAATCTAAACAAAGATTTGATTTTTTGTTGAATATCTATTCCATTTGAAAACTTTTTCATGTATTATTTCCCTATATTGGAATAACTGGATTTTCCAAGACATTAGAATAAATGCACAATTGTAGGACTCTTCCTGTGGCAAGTGACACCAAAATCTTGCTCAAATGAACTTAACAAAGGTAATATATGGGCTTGGAATACAGAACAGTCCAAGGGAATACCAGCTTCAGCTGGAGGAGGGTCTGATCTAGAATATGAGGTCATCAGGGCTTCGTTTTTTTTGTCTCTTTCATTTCTGCCGTTTTTGTTGGCTGAGCTTTATTTTCAGGCTGACGTCTCCCTTGGTGGAAGGATGCTATCGCAAGACTCGACTTCTTATATGACCAAATACAGCTGAGGAGCAAGAGCTCCTTTTTCTCCAAAGCCCCAGCGTAGTCTCCTCACATCTCCTTGGCTCTGACTGGGTGGTGTGGCCATCCCTAAACCAATGTCTGTGGCCTCAGCCGAGTTGGGCCCACTGCATGGCTAAGAATGGTGGAAGAGAGGTTCCCCAAAGCAGGGTTGAATTGCATTTGCCAGAAAGAAGCAGGTAGTTGTGGAGTAACAAACAGCAGATGTCCAGTTCAATGATCCTTTGTAATTTTTAAAACACTTTTGTCAAAACTAACTCATTTAATTTTACAATTTTAAGGCAATATGTCAGTTGTTATTATTTCCATTTTTTGATGAGAACACTAAGGCTCAAATCACACAACTTGTTCAAATTTGCAAAGTTGGTGAAAAAGATTCTATTAACTTTTTTCTCTTAGTGATGTAATATTAATTTCTGACCACTATACTACCTCTCCTGTTTTGGGCTGGGTTGTCTATTAATGTCACCTAATATTGCATTAGCATTTTGGGCAGCCATATCACACTGGCTTCTACTGATTTTATAGCCAGTAAGAGCCCTTCTGGTTTTTCATATGATTTCTGGTAAAACATAATATATCTAAAATGGTATTTTGAACTTAAGTGCAGGGCTACTCTTATTTGTGTGATAGCTCATATTAAATTTTTTCCATTGCTCCAGCCTAGCAAGAACTTTTGAGTCATGTGGAATCCAAAACATTAACTGTTTCTCCCAGATGCATGCCATCTTCAAGCTTAACAAGCATGAGATAATTCATCTTCTAAGTAATTACTAAAAAGATAGAACAATAAGGTACGTGCAATATTGATTAATTACCAATTTTTTTGAGACAGAGTCTCGCTTTGTTGCCCAGGCTAGAGCTAGTGCCGTGGCATCAGCCTTACTCACAGCAACCTCAATCTCCTGGGCTCCAGCGATCCTCCTGCCTCAGCCTCCCAAGTAGTTGGGACTACAGGCATGTGCCACCATGCCCGACTAATTTTTTCTCTATATATTAGTTGGCCAATTAATTTCTTTCTATTTATAGTAGAGACAGGGTCTCGCTCTTGCTCAGGCTGGTTTTGAACTTGAGCAATCTGCCCGCCTCGGCCTCCCAGAGTGCTAGGATTACAGGCATGAGCCACCGCGCCCGGCCTTAATTACCAATTTTAATCTGGAATGAAGCCTGTAGTGATCTGTCACAGGATTCCATCTTGGGTTGTTCAACATTTCTATAACTAGTCTGAATAGAGGCTAACCTGGTGTATTGAAAATGTGAATCACTTCGCAGATGGAATATGTCTACTCATTTGACCTCTTGTCTCATATTTCTAATATGAGCAATGTTTTGAAATGAAATGCCAAGTTATTGGCCTGGAGTCAATGGTAACTATGATTTTGTAAAACTCCCAAATCATTTCTCCTGGATAGAGTCAGGAATATTGTAGCCACTCAGTTAATGTCAAATTCCTGCAATGACAATAAGATGATAATCACTATGGTAATCAAGTATCACAATCTGTGAAAATTTGGTAATGAAATAGACAACACACCTTCCCCTGGGGACTTAATTTTCTTTTTTTTTTTTCAGATTAGAAAAGTGCAATCCAAATGTAAGTGATATGAGGATTTAACCAGAAATATTATCTAGGACTTTTGATTTCTAGTCTAAAGATTCTTCAGGCAGGAGAGTGGTGGGTGGCTCTCACATTAGAGTTATCTGGTGGTAGGAATTGCAGTGAGGCTTTTGAACCAACCTGCTCCCACCAAAAAACAATAAATTGGGGTTAAGTCAAAAAAGGTTAAAAGAAGGGGAAAAAATTTTTTATGAATATTAGAATCAGTTATTATTATAATTGATTTTAAGCAAGATTGAGAAACATCACTGT